GATCTGCCTGTTCTGCTCCCCGCTCTGTCTCTGGTGAAGCCTCTCACCACCCCCAGCCTCTGGCCTGTACCCCAGTTCTGTATGCACAAATAAATCTTTAAAAAAATATATATTGTCATTTCCCTCCCCACTCCCTTTTTTTTTTGGGGGGGGGTGAGGGGACTGTAAGAAAAGTCAAATGAAGTGGCTCAAAAATTGAAAACAGAGGGCCTCCCTGATGGCATGAAGGGTTAATTAAGTCTTGCACTATGAAGCTATAGGCAGATCCCTGGCCAGGGAGCAAACCCATGTAGTACAGCAGACCTGTCCTGTCTCACGGTTGTTTCCCTCAGCAGCAGACTTCAGTAGATCTATGTGCTCTGCTCCTCACACTGTCTCTAGTAAATCCTCTCACACCCTGTCTGCCTCTCCACCTCTGGCTTACACCCCAGCTCTTGTATTCATAAATAAATACATCTTTTTTTGAAATTGAAAACAGACACACACTTCCCCAGAAACTAGAGACCCATCAGCATGGCTTCTCGCTACCTGTTCCTGGCTGTTTTACTCTGATTAGGGCTCCCAGCTCCACCTCCAGTTCCTTTTGATCTGGCACTGAGCTATCTGTTCCCTCCATACTCGGCAACCCTTGCCAATGGCCAAATAAATACTAGTTAAGTGCAATATGTACTTCTGCTTTATTCTCATACTACAAAGACCTCTTCCCTTCCAATTTCATAAACCTGGTGCTCTTCTTTATATTTCTAGTACTGTCTAGTAGGATTTTTAATAGCTAGTATGTTCCTCAAGTCAACTCACAAGCGATTTTAAATATCTCATTGCTCAATATTTGGTATTTCGTTTCTGTACAATATCTTCTGTTTTTTGGTATAATTTATATATAATGGAATTGACTGCTATCAATAATATGTAGTGATAGGTGATTATACTACCAACATATGAGAGTTGAATGGTTTAATTTTGAGATTAAAAACAAAAAAGGTGCCCCCTCCAGTGACTTTTTTTCAAAATATTTCTTTAAACTTGTTTTTTCAACCCTTGCTTTACTATTCCAATCTTTACGCAGTTCTCAAAGCAAAATCCTTAACTAGTTCAATTTATGAAATGTATGTTGCTATGCATAGCACCCTCAGTTTGTCACAAATTCATACAACAAACATTCATTGAGCACTTATATGCCAGGCACTGTGCTAGGGAATATGGATGCAAAATTAAGACAGCCCTATAAAAAGTCAGTTTAGCAGGAAAAACAGATGACCTCACAGGATATAATGTGACCAGTGTTAAAAAGCTGATTCAAAGTGCTTTAGAAGCATGAAGAAAGCCAGTCTGCCTTAAATAGGAATTTGCAGTACTAGGGGGCGAATATCAGGAAGAATATGTAGAGAGGAGTGAACGGGTCCCTTAAAATGAGTTTTGGCACTGCATGTGGCTAAAAAATAGCATGTTTAGGGGAGTGGCAACAGATAAAGCTGGGACGGTTAGGAGGAGGCAGATGGTGAAAAGATCCTCTAAGCCAACTTTGAGGGGTCAGACTTGATTCTGGATGCCACTGCTTCTCAAACTCCGTGTTCCACCAGCAGCAGCTTCACCTGGAAAGCTTGTTAGAACCTGTTAGAAATACAAATTCTTGGGTCCTACCCATGACCTACTGAATCAAATTCTGGGGTAGGGGTCTACCCGCCTGTGTTTTGATAAGCCCTCCAGATGATTCTGATGGACTCTTCTTTAAGAACGATGGCTGCAGGCAACCAGAAATCTCTGAAGGATTTTAAGCAGGGAACTGAGTGAATAAATCTGAGATGAGAAACTAGCTGCCAGTGAGTTTTTTTTAGAAAACATGATTGTGACATGGAGAGATGATAAAGGCTTAGATTTGGTAGGAATGGAGAAGAAAGAGGTTTTAGAGATGTTTTATTACATGGCCCAAATTCAATCAGGTGACTAGGTCATAGTCATACAAAGGTATGGCTGTAATGGTTTTTATATAAAAGAACCCTGCCATCTTGTCAAATGTATCAACGGACAGCGTTTTATGAAAAAAAGTGGTCCACATAGACCCCAGAAAAAGGGGAAGTCAAGTTATTGCTACGTGTGCCCATAATGTCAAGAGCAAAGAGTCCCCTGGTTTGTACATGAGTCCTCCCGTCAGCTTGGCAGTTCTTCCTCTCACAGTAAATTAGTAAACTGGCATTTGCACTCACATAAAAATCAGTCCCTGAGACTGATCATTTTGGAAGTGCTGGGAAACCAATTTCAAACCTGGAAATGCTGGGAGGTAGGGGCATGAGACTGGTTCTGGTGGCCTCACTAAAGAACTGCCATGGTGAGCCCCTGATAGAGCCTCCTTTCCCATCTAACTTCATCACAGATCACAAAGCCCACTTGATTCAGGAAGAAGCTGGTATGAGTGAAGAATCAGACTTTGTACTATGCCCTCAAGGTCAAGAAAGTCAGGTGGAAGAAACTGCTATTTCTAATTTGGGAGGCAGGATTCAGCAGAGACAGTCTTCAGTTTCCTGATGGGAGGAGAGAGGGGCTCAGCCTACCTACCCGGTAATTTAATGAGAATTTTTGCAGTGCAATTTCTATTTCTGTCAGCTGGATACCTCTTGTTACTTACTGCATGTGCTTTTAGTTGATGCTCATGTCTTGGCTTATTTGAACAACATTTTGTCCAACAGTTCCCAATTAAAAACTGCACAATTTTATGGAATTTGAGAGCTATGAGAGACCCTGGAGATTAAAACAAAACTTTTCCTATTACAGATGAGGAAATGGAGGGCCTCAAAAGTAAATCACTTGATCTATTTATTGTAGAGCAAGATTTTCTAGCAAGCTACATGGTGGTAAAACAAAATACCACAATACTGATAATCTGCTCCTGTGTTAAGTCTTAGAAAAGCTCTAAAATTCCTCTTCCATCTTAATTTTTTTGGACTATTAGAGGATGGAAAGCTTTTTTGTAGTTGCATAATTTTTTTATGCTTTCAGAAATTGAAGTTAAATGTAAGAGCTCCATAAGATAAAAAGTTAAATAAAAAATTGGGGAAAGAAAATGTCCAGAAACAATTAAAGGGAAGACACATGCATTCTTTTATAAGCAACAGGGATAACTTTATTCTGAGTATTGTCCATTAGATTAAACTATATATTACATATAAAAGGAAATCTATCACAACTACCCTCACGGATTTGGGGGAGAGGGAAATCACTATTTTCAAATACCCTGGCATTTGGGCAGACCTCTTATTTTGAGAATTCTAGAAATGCTTTTAGAATGAGATTAATTTCTCATGCTGTTTGGGTATGCGGACATGAAAAACTTAAGGGCACATTTGGCTTTGACTCCCATTTTTCAAATTTACTATTGCTGTCTACCAAATACATGTACAATCTAAAAATTGATATCCATTCCCCATTCAATATCCTCATATAGTATTTTATAGGCAGGGAGACTTCCCAGCACTTAGAGAAAACGGGGACAAGATTTATCAGGAAGACTGTATGTCATCATAGCTGTGCCCCGCCTGAAAAAGTAGCCTTCGCCTTCTGTCTGTAATTCACATTAAGAACGCCATGCATTCCAAGGAACAGAAACGCTTTTCCAGCAAGAGCCAAAGGACTCGGATTTTTTTTTCAGGTTTGCGATCTTCTATTTTCCTTAAAGGTTAAAAAGCCGAGACTGTTTTCACTTAACATTTGCCCACACGCTCCCCGACGTGAGGTCTCTTCAGTTCTGCTTACTGGGGTGGAAATGCTCGCTCAGCGGGGAGAGGACAGATGTCAATTACCTGAGCCAATGGGGAAACTGCACTTCAGGATTAAGAGCCGGAGGGCCGGGAGGGTAGTAGAAAAAGTCCTCGGACTTCCAGCTCCACCTGATTGGGGCCCAGCCGTTCCAGCCCTCGTCCCCAACACCGGCGGCTCCATGTGAAACCGGTCATGTGAGCCTGTTTACAGACGAGCAGCTGGTGCAACCATTAAAATCCGCGCGGAGGTCCAGGAAGGGGGAAGGATACAAGCCATTATCACGCCCCCATCCCATTATTCCAAGAAGGTGACGACCCCCCTGCACGCCGCGCGCCTTCCCACCCCACTTTCATCTCCTTCCACTATCCCGGGACGCCTCGCTCCAGGCGCGCGCATTCCCTTCCCCGGGCTAGCTGGGGGCACCCGCTCTGCTGAAGGAAGGGCGAGGACGGTGTCACCTCCAACAGGCTGTCAACCTCCCTCCCCCAGTCCTCGGCCACCTCCGCCGAAGAGTTGTCCCAGGAGTCGCATCCCCGAGGCAACCGAACTCCGCGGGGCAGGCACCGGGAGGATCCCGCGCCGCCGCCGCCGCCGCCGCCGCCGCCGCCGCCGCCGCCGCCCGGGCAGGAGCGCCAGACACCACCGGGCGGGCCAGACCCCGGGCCGGGCACGGCGGGCGGGCACCGGGGCCGTGACAGTCAGAGATGGGGCAGAAAGGACCCAATCGCTTCCTCCCCACCTCCCACCCGCTTCCCGGCGCCGCCGAGCCAGGCTGTCAGTCACCCAGCCGAGCTCCAGCTCTGGGTTCGGCTCTTTCTTTCCGCGGGGTCTCTCGGCAACTTCCATGTTTTCCCGAAGTAGGAGCAAGTGGGTGACGGGACGGTGGGGGGCTCTCACCTCGGCCACATCGGCTCCTTGGAAAGCAGCTGCGACTGCAGTTCGGGTCCTTTGTCAGCGTCTCTAAGCTGCACTGCCTGCTGGGATACCGGCGGACTCAAAAGCCACCTCTCTCCGCCCTAGAGGATGAGCTGCGGTTGCGGGTGGGTGGGAGAGGAGGCGGGGCCGGGGCGGGACCTACTATGGGGGCGGGTCTTCCTTACTGCCACCTGGCTTCTCGGGTTTCTTCTCCCGGCTTCAAACTTCCTTCTCGGTCTCTAATCTGCCCTCCCCTGCAACCCGCCCGGCCCCCCCTCCTGCTGCCCCTTGCAGAGGCCATCCCTCTTTGCACTATCTGGGCAGGCCCTCTTGACTCCTCCCCTGTCTCACTTTCCTACAGGCACGCACACAGACACACACCCAATCTGTACCCATGGCCAGTTGATTCTACCTCTGAGACACGTCTTACTGACCACCTCTGTTCCTACTCCATCCTCAGCTACAGACTCTGTCTAGGCTCCTTGCCATTTTTCACACCACTAGCCTCCTAACTGGGCTCTCCTTCCACTCTTGCCTTTGTCTAAACCATCACCCCAACAGCAGCCACAGGGATATATGGAAGCCGTAGATGTGACCGTGTGATTCTTCTGCTTAAAATACCTATGATCCCTTAGTTTGGTATATAAGGTCCTCCCCATGCCTTTTCTGGTGCACCCAATACTCTAACCCAATAAACTGCTCAGGGCCTAGGACAACTCAAGCAACGCTGACTGCTCCAAATATTCCCCCTTGATGGAGGCCGTGCTGTCCGTGACTAACAACAGCCCCCCCGAGGATCATTAATGACGGAATGTTCAAGATTAAGTTTTAGTAATTGCATTTATAGACAGTTTGGTAGACACATGTGCCACTTCTCAAACACCATCTGCGTTCTAATTGTTTCCTTCAAAAGAGTAGCTCACCAATGTTTTCTTCATTTTTAAAAAAAAGGTTTTCTTCTTTGTATCCCAGACCATACACCCCCAATAAAAAAAAATCATTGAATATTGAAAGAAAAAAGATTAAATGTTAATGATGTTCAAGAAGGAAAACTGCAGCAGCCGCAGGTGCCCTCCCCATATGTTTAAGCCCGAAGGAATTCTCAGGTGTCCCAGACAAGCAATGGGCTGCCACTAGATCTCCCTGTGAGCTCTGGTGCCTTCGCTCACAGATTCCCTTAGTTTAAGAAGCCCATCTCTGGAATGGCTACCAATCTGTCAAGACTCAGTGTCAGTGCCAGTTCCTTCAGTAATACTTCCAGGACCTTCCATGAGAGCTATCAACTCCTGCTCCATCATCAATGAACATTGCTTATTCTGTTTTACAGTTCTTCCTGACTTAGCTAATTACTAGGCATGTATTTGTCTTCCCTTCTCTCCTACCTAGATGTACAGTTCCCTGAAGCCAATCCACAGTTGCCAGCACAATGCCTGATCCAGAAAAGGCACCAATACAATTGGGTGAAATGAAATTAAATCCTTCAACTCCACAATGTCAGAAGCCCTCGACAAGCAAGGAAGGATTCTAGGTAAGGCCCCATCCACCTACTACCACACCATCACCAGGACACCTCCATCTTGATCCGACCACGTGTCATTTTGCAAGCACAAACTGGTTAGGCAGCAGAGCATTGCAAAAGGAGCAAAGCTTGTACTTCCCTTGCAGGTCAGACTGGTTTGTGGTACATTCTGTGGTTGTGGAAACTGTCACTGGTACGACTCACATGAGAATTCAGTCTAGAAATATTTCACAGTACCACGGAAAATATCTTGAATTTCTAATGAACAGGTTATCTCCTACCTTGAGAAGCTTTGGATTTCTGTTTGCTTCAGGCTTACCCTTGAGCTCTACATTCCTTCAGGCTTGTATACTGAGTTCTAAGGTATTCTCTTGCAAAAGTGGACGTCTTGCATCATTTAATACACATTTTGTTTTTTTCTCCAGTTGTATTATTGCAAGCTACATTCTGGCAAGGTGTCTTCATCCTTAAATTGGGGACAAGAATCCTTGACCTACCCAATTTACTAGGCTGTTAAGAGGTTCTAATGTGGTAATATATGTAATATGTGATAATGTCTTTATATGATGCTTTTCAATCATAAGGTCTGTTTTATTATTACTATTTGAACAAGTGTTTACATTCTACTACCTAGGCACATGTTTGAGATCCCACATCATGAATCAAAGCTTTCATTGCAAATTGCTGGGGATCATGGTTTCCCAACATAACCTTATGATAAGGATCACCTAGAGCCCTGTTAAAAACAAGCTTTTAAATAAATTCCCAGAATTTACCCCAGACTTAGAATAAAAATGTCCACGTAAGATTCTGCTGCAACAATTATAACTCATGGGGTGTTGCACACCGTAGACCAGTTCTCTGACACTAGCCAGGGGCCCGACAGTTTAATCCAATTTGGATATCTTGCCTGGAGACGAAGCAGCAACAAAGAATTTGTCTCTCTGTCCCACTAGATAAGCAATCTCATTATCTTTATTTGCCCTCTAGGCTTAACAAACTCTGTTTTCTTTGTGCAGCGGTGAAAGAGCATCACTAGGAAGATAACATTGGAATTGTTGACCACCACCTGGTGATGGTGAAAACAAGCTGGCGTCAAGTGAAGTCTCCAGATGCTTGTGTTGCAAGGATGGACAAGCTGACCCTTGCCCAGTCCTCCTCCTACCCCCATGTAACCTGTGTTCCTTCTCCTTGAACTCTGTTTCCTTGTATTGCCCAGGGGAAACTGAAACCCACAGGTATTCCAGCAACAGAGAGCATCAGGTCTCACGCATTGAGGGGTCAGTCCCACAAAACTGCCCTCTATTCCAAATTCCAGTCTTAAGCCCAGATGCTACTTGTTTCCATCACCCCCTCCTTGGGTTTGAGTGATTTGCTAGAATGACATTGATTCTAGAATGACATGATTGACATTGCTGAATGTCTCACAGGACTTAGGAAACCAGTTTACTCACTAGGTTTTCAGTTTATTTCAAATATATGAAAGGGTAGGAACCAACAGTCAGAAGAAGAGGTACACCAGAAGAGGTTCCAAAACAAAGGAGCTTCTCTCCATGCACAGTTTGAGGCCCAGCATGATGGCACATGGGAATGTCCTGGTTCATCAGTCTGGAAGTTCTCTGAACCCGGTCTGTGTGGGGTTTTCAGAAAGGCTTCATTACATAAGCAGGATTGATTGGATCATTGGCCACTGATGATTAGTTTACCTCCAAACTCTCATCATGTGGTTGGTTTCTGTTGCAACCAGCCCACACCCTCAGGGGCATTTTCCAAAGGGTCTTTATTAGCATAAACTCAGGTTGAGTTGAGAGCCACCTCGCATGTGCTCCTGGCCCGCCAGCTTGGCCCCTGCAAGTGAAACAGGGAAGGGAAGAGTGGTCAGGGAGGGGAAAGCGGTTGGGCACCCGCAGTGGCCCTTCACACTTCGTGTTGTACGCCCTGGGTGCTGTGAGTGGCCAATGGGCAGTGCCCTGTTGCAAGCCGGGGGGCAGGACGGCACTAGGCGACAGCACCTTTGTCACCAAGGGGTGCCCCGCACGTAGGCCGCGCTCACCCTCCACCTGAGGGTGACTGAAAGGGGTTCTTTGTCTCTCAAGACATTTTTTAAAAAGATTATTTTATGGGCCCTCCTTAGTGACGCAGCAGGTTAAAGTGCGGCACTATGAAGGGAGCCGCAGCCTGTTCAGTGCGAGTCTGATCCCCCGCCCTGGAGGTGGCCCCCATGGCGCGGCAGACATCTCCTGTCTTGCCCAATGCTCCCCTCAGCAGCGTACTTAATTAAAACTACCTGTTCTGCATCCCGCTCTGTCTCTAGTGAATCCTCTCACTATCCCTGCACCTCTGGCCTATACCCTAGTTCTGTATGCATAAATAAATAAATCTTTTAAAAATTATTTTATTTATTTATTCATACAAGAACTGGGGTGTAAGTCAGAGATACAGGGTGGGGGGGTGAGAGGATTCACCAGAGACAGAGTGGGGAGTAGAACAGGCAGATCAACTGAAACACTGCTGAGGGGAGACGCAGGCGAGACAGGAGAGGTCTGCTACGTACGTCATGTGGATCAGCTATCAAATTCTTGTGTGCAGTAGTAGCTGCAGATAGCTTCATAATGCTGAGACTTGAACCCCTGTGCCACCAGGGAGGCCCCTAAGACACTTTTAGCACACTCATCACTTAGGAAATTCCAAGGGTTTAAAGAGCTCGACACCAGAAATGGGGAGGAAGAACAAATATCTATTTATTATGAATCATAATATCATGCCAGGAGAAAAATAAAGTCAAGAGTACTATTTAGAATGGCATCAGGTGATTTTTATTCTCAAGCAAGTCTGGGAGATATTATTTCTAGTTACTCACATATCAGAATGAATTAAATGAGAATTCTTTCTGGGAAAGGCCTTTCAGTAAGGAGAAATCAAAAGAGGAGCATAACTGGGAAGGAGGTTCCAGCAGGGCACACAATTCCGCAGGGCATCATAACCATGCCTGCAGGGAGGCCTCAAGGAAGTTTGGTAGCAGTGGTGGTCCCCAAGGTGGAACCATCTAAATGTGCGTAACTCCCCTCTCATACAGTGACAGAGTCTCAAGATGCGTTTCTCAGAACTGCTTCCCCATTGCCGAGCTACAGAAGACCGGAGGCAAATCCTTCCCAAGGAGTGTCCTCCTCCTCGCCCCAAGCTCTCCCGGCCTGGCTGGGGTTGTGACTTGCAGCCATCTGCTTCACCAGCTGAAAGCAAAGTTGTAACTGGGACCTTACTGCCTCCACCCCATTGGCGAGTTCCCCGGATTTTCTCAGTGCCACAAGGGCTTTGTGCCCAACATGCCCTACCCTCCCAATCCCTGGCTTCAGAGTTTCCCCAGCTCCGTGGGGCCCATCTCTCCCAGCTGGACAACATATTGTCATTGTTTCCCTGTTTGTCTCTGAGGTGTTGAGGGCTGAGCTTGGTCTTACTCATCTTTCCACCTCCCCAGGACATGGACCATACTAGATGCATTTATTGTAGGTGCATGTGTTGAGCTGACCTGTGAACTTGTCTGTTTAT